TCTTTCAACATAATGATGTCACATTGTTACCATGGCCACCAAGATCTCCCAATTTATCCCCAATTGAGCACGTGTGAGCAATTTGCAACGTCCTCCTCAGACTCTAGAAGCACTTCGAGAGGAGTTGGTGGTTGCCTGGAATGAGATACCACAGGAGGACATTGACCACCTGATCAGAAGCATGCCTAGGCGCGTTGGAGAATGCGTAGCACATCAGGGTGCATCCACACATTATTAAAGGTCAAAGGGCTTTAAAGCAGTGCAATCATTTTGAAATTTTTATCATTTACTTATCATGCTTCATTAAGTACTTATAAAAAATTTTATTAAAATAAAACCATTTAAACTGGGTGTTCGGATTTGTATGTCACTTAGTATATGTCTAACAGGTACGTAGAATTACCGGATCTGAGAGTGTAATTAATATAGTAATAATAACACCAACAAATTGAGATGTGTATAAAAATTAATAAAGACCTGCTCACAAGTCTGTCTTTTACTTATATTGGTAAAATTCTCACTTGGTACGCCTCGTACTCTCCTTATTGATGAATGTATCTCGTAGCACTGTTTTTCCATACTACACAATGTTATAAATAAGGAACCTTACAAACTGAAAGTCGTTTCTAAAAACAACGGAGTCCTTGTATCCTCTGTTCCACGAAAACATCGTGCGTACGACAATGAGCTGCTCGTCACCAAGGGCTCTCAGGTGAGTGATATATGTGCAATTACATTCAGGACTGGCGCTTTTTTGTACACATCTGGAACGCTTTGATTATTTATGTGCGAGAGTCTGGTGCCTGGCATGCCTTGTAGAGGAGGTACACTCGAAAACTTCCGTTAGCTCTGCCAATTGCTACACCTGCATAGCTCGTGGCATTGTACTAATAATTATCCAAATACGTTCTGCACTTTGGATTTAGAAAATCATTTGTTTGTAGGTAAGAATATAACAAATTTTTGAAGTTTTACGTCTTGAATGATTTTGAGCGGGGCCACATACATCCACCGTTAAAAAACAGAATGGCGTTTTTATGGGAAAAAACTTGATATCAACTCGGATGTACATAATGTGAAATATACGAAAACTATTACTGTAGCGTGAGATGCTAACAAAGTTAGTGATCATATTATATACCTTCCGGTAATACTCCATACTGTTGGACAGACTCGCTGATGTGGGTGTGGATAACTCACTGCGTCAATGGGTAGCCTAGTACATAACAAACAGACAACAAATCATCACTGTGACTCGATACGAGTCTGAACCTTCTATTGGTACATCGGGAGTTCCACAAGGAAGTCACCTGGGACCGCTTTTTTTCATAATATATTTAAATAATATCGATAAATATACAGGGTGTCCCGAAAAAAGTGTGCAATATTCTGCCAGCGGCTTTTAGAGCTTAAAATAGTTTATATAAACATAGCTCGACAAACGTCCCCTAAGGGCGCTACGGTCTTTTAAAGGGGCTTCCCTGAAGATGGTTTTTCCTTAATATTTCTTAATATTTCCGAAATGTGTTGAGATAAAGACATACAATTTTAAATTCTAGCCTAGTTTTTTATGCTGGATTTAACAATTTTAGACAGTTTTGTTTGGAAGCGTATGTAACTGGGACGGACTCAGGTTATTTTTGCCCCAAAATTTTTGTGTGATTCTATTTGTGAAATTCAATTTTAGAATTTGAAAATTTAGGGTTTGTTACATAAAAAACGTACTCTTACTGAATATCGATAAATTGTGCCATTTTTGAATAAAATCAAACAAAAAAATTTGTCACATGATAGGAAATGTACTGCGAATTTAAATAAATTGTTAATTATACATAGTTAGCCATGACTGCAAACAAAAGTTGTTTTGAGTTGTTATGACTTATTTTGGCGTTAAGCTGACAGTTAGCAGTGTAAAATTACTAGATAAAATAAAAAGTTTTATTAAATCGATTTGAAATGCCAAGATTTACAGACAGAGAACTGACTGACATGCATTTTGTGTACGGGTTTTGCAATGGCAGTTCATTGGCAGCCGTAAGAGAATATCAAAGAATATTTCCCAATCGCATAGTACCTGGACGTCGAATGTTTACTGATATTCACCGGAATTTGTCAAACCATGGAAGTTTTCAGTGCATGCAGGGTTCAGGAATCGCCACTGGGAAATCATCGTATGGATATTGCTTTAAATATGTTTGAAAATAATCCGCAAATAAGCATACGAAATGTTTCAGAAAATATGGATATACTTCGATCAATAGTAAGAAAAATTAATGAATACCTATTTGATAGTTATCCTAAAAATAATAATTTTAGATAGGAAGAATGACAAGAATGCAATGATTAGATACTTATCATTTAAAACGAGTGCAGCATTTAACGGAGGCAGACTTTTACCACGAATCGAGTTTTGCCAGTGGATATTAGCAATTGAAAACACTATTCCTAGAATATTATGGTCGTATGAGTCAATATTTACTAGGAATGGTGTTTTTAATTTCCATAACATGCATCACTGCTCAGATCAAAATCCAAAAGTTGTTCGCCGTACAAATTTCCAACATAGATTTTCATTGAACTTATGGGCAGGAGTAATTGGGGATCAAGTAATTGGGCCTATTGTACTTCCCAATCGTCTTAATTCAGAGGTGTATCCGAACTTTCTTCAGAATGAGCTCATGGATATAATACCATTGGATGTGCGCCAGCAGTTTCAAGAAAATATGTTTTTTTAACATGATGGCGCCCCTGCACATTTTGGACGCTATGTTCGAAATTGGTTGAATGTTAGTTTTCCAGACAGGTGGTTAGGCCGAGGAGGTCCTATAGCGTGGTCGCCACGTTCACCTGACCTAAATCCATTGGATTTCTATTTTTGAGGGTCATTAAAAGACCTAGTTTACTCGACTGAAGTAAATACTCAAGAAGAGTTACTTCAAAGAATCCATCAGGCTGCAAATGAAATAAGAAGAAAAAGGTTTTCCACTTTTCGGGCTATGCAATCATTAGTGTTCGTCGAACGAGACTCTGTACCCAACAAAATGGGAATTTAAGTGAACACTTATTGTAAAGCTAGTTTTAAGTATATCCACAACAACAAAAAAGATTAATTTCTTTTGTTTTTGCCAAAATGTTAGCTATGTTGCAATAGAAATATGTATTTATGTAATATTTAGCAATTACTAAATTAGTTTTTTCGTTGCCATGGCTAATTATTCAACAATTCATTTAAAATCGCAGTACATTTCCTATCATGTAACAAATTTTTTAGTTTGATTTTATTGAAAAATGGCACCATTTATCGATATTCAATAAGAGTACCTTTTTTATGTAGAAAACCCTCAATTTTCAAATTCTGAAATTGAATCTTAAAAATAGAACCACACAAATATTTTGGAGCTCAAATAACCTGAGTCCGTTCCTGTTACATACGCTTCCAAACAAAACTGTCTAAAATTGTTAATATTTTTAAATCCAGCATAAAAAACTAGGCTAGAATACCAAATTTTATGTCTTTATCTCAACACGTTTCGGAAATATTAAGGGAAAACCATCTTCAGGGGAGCCTCTTTCAAAGACCGAGTGCCCTTAGGGGACGTTTGCCGACCTATGTTTATATAAACTTTTCTTCCTATTTTAAGCTCTAGAAACCGCTGGTAGAATATTGCACACTTTTTTCGGGACACCCTGTATAAGAAATTCCTTCTATATGAGGATGACTTGAAACTTTTTTCTACGGTTCGAAGTATTGAAGACTGCAAAAATATTCAAGAAGATCTTAACCATCTAGTTGATTACTCAAACAACAACAGCATGTTTTTGAACTTAGATAAATGTAATTTTATGCGCCTAACTAAATACTTGAACAAGGTAGAGTATATATATATATAAATGAAACAATACTGCTTTGGTACAGGTGGGTGTTGCTAAAGATTTAGGTGTCTATATCGATGATAAACTTTCTTTTAGCTATGATATTGAAAAAACCAACAATGAAGCCAACAAGTGCTTGGGATTCATAAAAGAACCGGTAGAAGTTTCAAAAATCCAATTACCCTGACTTCCTTGTACTACTCCTACGTTTGCAGTAGGTTATCTTTCGCATCTGATATATGGAATGTCACTCCAATCGTATAGAAAGAATTCAGAATAAGTGTTTGCGTACACGCGCCTCCAAATGTGGCACTCCCATCACAGATACTACCCGTAACTATGATGTAATAATGAAAAAGTTCAATATTTTATCACTATTTAATAGAAGAGTAGCTTCTGAAATTTTAGTTATCTACAAGCTAGTCAACAATCTTTGAGACTGTAATGATTTACTGTCGTCAGTTAATTTTAATGCACCAGACAGCAATTACCCACACTATGATTTGTTTAACCTTCCATATTGTCGCAAAAATCTAGGTATTATTTCTCCATTGACAAGGGCACAAAAGGCATACAATCAGTTTTGTGAAGAAGACCTGTTCCGCCATAATATTGCTTGCTTTAAGCGCAAACTTAAATCAACATTCTTAAATTAATATTATTCATTCCAACTGCTTGTTATTGTCTACAGCCAGACTCGTATTTTTTATTATTTGCTATTTAATTTTTTATCTACAGTGCCATTTTTGTAAATATTTGTATATAGTATCCTTGTGATTGAACTTCCTACATTTTTGTGTAATATGTAAGATATTGTGTATTTTTGATATTTGGACTTTATCCTACTCTGTAATTGGCTTTGTAGCTGTTGGGTAGAGTATAAATAAATAAATAATAAAAATAAAATTATGTTAACTATGTAACTTCTACAACAGATGTTTAATTTATAAGCTTACTATATTTATAATAAATGTTCATTCGAAATTTAATCTAGTGGATGTGTGTTGGCTCCGGCTGTTAACACCCTGAATTTGTAATAAATAAATAAATATTCCAACTTTAGCACAAGCTGTCGACAATTTACAGGAATTACTATATTTACCTACAGGACAGTTGTCAAAACTTACCTAAGAGCACCATTAAAAAGACTGGCCATAAATAGTCCTAGAATTCCTGGTAGATAGCTAAAGCGGTCTTCGACAAAGAATGGAAGAATCTCATCGTACTTCTTGATATAACCAGAGCTAAGTGGATCACAGCTTGCATAGACGGCATACACTACCATGCCCACTACCCAGGATAAGCTGAAGAGTACAGTTATCACAGGTATGTTCCACATTAATGTTCTGAAAAGAGAGGGATTATTAGATGGTGATAGAGAATGCATTGTATACTTTCTCAGCCAGGCTCACCCGTAACACTGTTTCCTGAAAGCTGTCATTCAATAATATAGACCAATAGGCGACAAACCATACATATATTAGAACGCCTTGGGGTACAAGTCTCTATTACATTTCGTTTTCCAATATCTGCCAAACAATATAGCGGAATAGAAAATTTCAAAATTTATATTATACTACAAGATATTCAGCTTTTCATATTATACCATGTTTTTGGAGCTCACTCACACCATACAGACAACACAAAAATCTAGTAATTGGTTAGACATAGGCGACATAAATTAATTTTCTGTTCTGCTTTTGAAGGCCATGTTGAGAAAACTGCATGGACTTAACATTACAATGGAACACATATAGATGCGTGCCGCTTGGGATGTGTAGGAGTAGTGGACTGTCCGACATTAAGGGCCCGATTTTACCAAACTGGGGCACAGAAAAAGCGGGTGGAACACAAATTCGGCCAATAAGAAAGCGTCTTTGGAGTAATGGATCTTGTAAAAGTGTCCGATTTCCTGTAAAATGTCTCTCAAACTAGAGAAAGGTTATATATACGATTTGTATAATATGGCCCCCCAGTTCCCATATTAAATCAGGGCATACGCCATGAAACACTTGGTTTAGCTACAAAAACATACTTTAATTTACCTCCGAACACTGATACTATAAACTAAATTCGCATTTTATTGCAAATAGCAGTGTCTCACTGTTGCTGTATAGAATGTTTATTTTTTAACAGACATCCAATGAATAATCAATTTACTTACAAATTCATTATATCCATTACATTGGTACTACTAAGACGCCTTTTCGTTAGTCCAATTTATACTATTGGCGCAAATTTTTGTTTCCCGTGAGTCAATTGTGAAATCGAGCCTAAATGGTGCATTTTTAGAAACTAATCCCTGTAACATAGGGATGTAAATCCGGGGTAATACAAACACCGTTCTATATTTAAAGCAAACGTTTCCTGTCCACCCCAAAAATGGGCCGAACTAAGGGGAAATTGCCATTCATAAAATCTTCTTAAGGTTGATTTTCACTATACATTCCGTTTGCATTCCATATCAGTTCCGTGAACGTTCCTTACAATTTGATTGTATACACAGTATACCTTACGTTGCATTTCCATCTGCAGTATTTTCGTATATGCAACATATACGTAGTTCAAAACGCTGTGAAATATGTCTGAAGAAAATTTAATTATTGCCGCTGTTATCTTGGACGAGGACGCTTGAAACAAAAACGAAAGGCATTTCGAGATTCACAATATGTTGAAGCAACGCGGAATTGATGGAGAATATGTTAGATTATTTCCGAAGTTAATGGACGATGACACATATTAACATAATTAAAAAGAATTAATTTACAGAATGAAATTATGGCGTCTCTTCAATTCACACTAGCCGTATCATTTCCGACACGTTGCCGCCTGTCCGCCAAAAATAGGAATGGAAAGGGACGCAGGGCGGAATGCGAACGGAAGGGACAATGTGCATACAGGGTGTCCGCAAAGTTGGGGTTTTCCTTTACACGACGTGTAGATCTTGAAAACATAAGCAATTTTTCTTAGTACCATATACACCAATGTCTTAAGGGAACCGAGATAAAGGGCTCTGCAACATCAAAAATATCTGAATACCGTCCTGTAGCCGCGACATCACGGAGTGGTACAATGTCACTGGCTCAACGACAGAACTGGGTCGGGGGTCGGGGTCAGTGTGTCAGGTCAGTATGCAACCTTCAACCGACGGTTACGGTCACGCGAGGTAATCGCGTAGACGAGAATCCCTCAACAAGCACTAGAGACGTGGCTAGAGAAGTGCAAGTATCAAAAACTAAAGTGTGGCAAACGCTGCGTGAAGAGGGGCTGTATCCGTTTCACGTCCAACGTGTACAAGCCCTTCAACCTGACGATTTTCCAGCAAGAGTGCGGTTTTGTGAGTGGTTGTTGCATCAACATGACAATAATCCGGACGGCAGAGACGTACTTAGCCCTTCTCGTCAACTTGAGAGTGAGTACTTTTTCCTTTATTTTTTTTACTTTGTCGCCCTCGTTTCACTACACATTACCTTTGTTATTTCAAGGGTAGTTGTTTCTGAAAGGAAAACCCCAACTTTGCGGACACCCTGTATTAATAATTTAAGGAACGGTTACGGAACGGAAACGGAAGGTATAGTGAGAATCAACCTTTATACTTCAGTATTTGTGTAGCAGGTTCTTGAAGGTGTATTACAATAATTCACATTTTGGAATTTATAATGGCGCTGGATGTTTAATATCCAAGGTGAATGGAACCATTTTTGATATCTAAAATAAAATGGCTTACCATTTATCTAGAATAATTAATTTATGCTTGTCATGTCAACATGTTTAATCCGGAGCTAACAGTGTAGCAATACCTTTTCACCTATTATGTAGTGACTATTCGGACACTTATAAAGCTTTCCACGGACACGCGCTAGTGAATTTCAGTACTCAAGTGAATATTGCATTGCTAGTGCCAGTATATTTGTTTGTTGAATATTTTTTCTTTGTTGAAGATTTATTTATCATTAATGCTACAGCGTCAAGTTTGTGTAATTATTCGTTTACACGTTTGCTTGAATCCATTTTCTGTAATTTTACATTCTCGTCTATTAAAATTACACCACTAAGCAATTTGAGTATTCATAAAGTAATAACTAGTTTCACCTTAAACATTTTTAAATTCGAACACCCTTTAATATCATTCTTCAAATTATTAAATTCAATTACAGATTTACCAGTTATGTGACCATTACAATTTCGCAGAAGAAAATCTATCCTGTCTATAGCTTCGTAGTTAGGATAATGACCATTTAATTTTGTGAAGTTTTCTTGATGTGGTAGTAACAAATGATTTAATTTGAGTACGAGAATGAGAACTAACTATCATATACAATTTTCCACATTCAACCACTGTATTTCTAACACAAACTTAATCCTGGCGTATTTGTTTTTATTTAAAATGATTCTCATAGCTTTATTTTTTACAATTTGTAATTTTGAAAATATGTTTTCATTAGCTGTAAACAAGATGTTTGAACAATATAAAAAATGGGGCAGCATTATAGTGATAGTTCTTTTGGTATAGATACTAAGATTATGGGAAACTCCATAGCAATAATTTCTTTTTTGATATTTTTGTAATAATGAATTCATAATGCTATTGAAACAGTAGTTTACTATGCACATATATACCCACATATTTGAATGATTTGACTACTTCAATTCTTTCATCGTTAGTCATGAGCCTAATGTTATTGTCACCTAAGCGTTTCCCTATTTACATACGTTTTGTTGTCTTAGTATTTGATTGAATTTTATTAACATTTCACCAAGCCATATTTCTTTTAATATTACTATTTAACAGTTCTAAAACAGTGTCCAAATTTCTATGTGCAATATATCAATGTATCGCCAGCAAATATTTTAATTTTGCAGTGTTCTAAAACATCAGAGCTATCATTTAATTACTCGTATAATGTTATATAACAAATATAGTAACTGCCCTAATGAACTCCCCTGTGGAACCCCTACTGATATATTTTGAACGCCTGACATAATTTTGAACTTCAGTTTTTTTACTTCTATTTACTAAATAATTTTGTAAAATGTTTAATACTGATCCTTTAAAACCATAGTGATCTAGTTATTTCATTAAAAATGTTTCCCTGACTATTGTCTCAAATGCTCATTTGAAGTCTAAAAATAATGTTACAATACATTATTTTCCATCTATACGTCTTTTTCAGTCTTCCACCACCATTTGGATTGCTGTAGAATATTTTTATCTAAATCCAGCTTGATTTTTTGTCAAAATTTTGTTTTCTTCAGGGATATGAAGGATTTGTTCGTATATGATCTCTTCTAACAGCTTCCCGGCATATGGCAAGACATTAATCGGCCGCATATTTGTATATAGCATAGTCTTGACGGGAGTTCTCCATGTGCTAATCAATGATTTACCAACAATAATAATTTCTCTCCAATTATTTATTTACAATTTTTTTGAGACATGATAAATATGTCAGGTATACTTTCCTAAATATCGTTCTATATCGCATGCCAGTGGAAAAGGTTATTTAATGATAAATGAAGTGACTTCAAATCTGCCAAAAGTATCAGCAACGTAAATAAGAAAGAAAGAATCATCCTAGAAGCAAATGCAACACAGTTATACTTTTGACGCATGAAGTAAAAATAAAGTTTGTAGAACAAGAATAAAAAAATAATAATTTATTTGGCATGCAATGAGTAACGGATACTGTTGCAAAGAAGATGACTAGGATGAATATTTATAAATGTGCGATCACTCACAAAATTGAGTCATAATGGTGTAACACTTCTATATTATAAGGTTTTGGTTTGAGTACGGTACTGTCTCCCATATACAGCTTACGTTTGCATACACGCTGACAGTCAATTTGGATTGCAAATTGCCATTTTACGCAAATGCTTACTCCTATAATGCAGTCAGGTTTCCTCGGTAAGCCGTTTCGATCATCAATTTTAGCCGCGTTTAAGTGACTTCTGAGTAGTCTGGCCGACATACTGAATGGCTTCGCTGGCAATTCGGAATGGTTCTGTGTACGTTTATGGCGACTTTTAGTGCTGCTGTGGGCTGCATATGTCTTCAAACTTTACACATTCTCATCGCTGTGGATCGTGTCAAAACGATGTCGGTCAGATTTGAATTGAGTCAGGTGATAAGAATAAAACATAGGTCAACGGATGACAGGGAGAGGAATGAGCTTGAGCATGGATAACACAAATAGTTGGTTTATTAAGGTTGACTCAGATTAAGCTTGTTCAAAAAGCAAAGTTTTGTGGCCTACATCTGACACGTTAAAGAGGTAGAAATAGTATTTGAAGACTTACCGTATAAAAAAAGTCTAAATTTTATAATGTTGGGATATCTGTATAATTGATAACTCCTAAAGTCAAATTTTTTTTAACTGCCTGTTTGGATCAGTATTCTGAATCATTTTAATCTGATTATTTCATGGTGTGTATACAGACGATTAAAAAACAATATTATCAATTTTTTCTCAAAACATGCATTTTTTGTGCATTTTATTGTGCATTTCTTCCTCAATCGTAATTTGTTCAGAAATATTAGCACAGCTCTAAAATTGTATGTCAAAATTCCACTTTTAAGGTAGAATTGAGGCGGAGGCTATTTTTATTGTCACTTTTTCTATTTGATTTTTTTGCTACCTCATTTTGCAGCAACATGAGTTCTTTAAAAAGGCAAAGATTTTTTGAAGAGTGAAAGTAATAAAATAAAAGTAATCACCCGCTCAGTACTTCACCAATATTTATCTTTGGGTACAGTGGCAACCTAATACGTGAACTCCAAAATTCTGTGAAGAACGTCAGTGGGTCAGTGAGTATCTGTTTGACCAACCATAGAATCCCATTCTGATCTAGCAAACAATCTTAGATTCCTGCTAAGGTTTTTACTAAGCTGTTGTAAATTGGATCCTCACCATGTTACTGAACTTCATAATCAGGGCCTGATTTTTTGAGTAAAGTGATCCACTAAAAGTACTACCCTGTAGAAGTATTTAAGCACACCTTACCAGGGCAGTACAATTTTGGTAAGAATTACCAAGGCAATCAGTTAGCATGATTCGATATTGATTATCAGAAAGAATATCCTATACAGGTGTTAATAAAGTATCTGGCCCAGACTTTAATTGCTTGATACGACAACACAGGTGTTTCGCTATAAACTGACATTCCTTTTATATTTATTTGAATGAATGAATGTAGTCTTTTACAGAAATTATATTGTTTAATGTAAAACTTTTCATGCAACGTATTTTGCATATACACGGTGTCCGCAAAGTTGGGGTTTTCCTTTTCAGAAACAACTACCCTTGAAATAACAAAGGTAATGTGTAGTGAAACGAGGGCGACCAAGTAAAAAAAAATAAAGGAAAAAGTATTCACTCTCCAGTTGACGAGAAGGGCTAAGTATGTCTCTGCCCGAAATCATACCACTCCAACAGAAAATGAAATCAGCTGAAGCGCTACCGAGCAGACGCAGAAACCACATTGATTGTCTTACACTTAATGGCACATCTAACAAGGAAGGCAAAATGTTGCGTAATTGCGTGCGGATTTTCTACTAACTAAACATGAGTGTTGCGAAAGTTATTCACCCCATTACGCGTGAACGTAGATTCGTCTGTCACCAATATGCACTTCAAAAAGTCCGGATTATTGTCATGTTGATGCAACGACCACTCACAAAACCGCACTCTTTCTGGAAAATCGTCAGGTTGAAGGGCTTGTACACGTTGGACGTGAAACGGATAGCCCCTCTTCACGCAGCGTTTGCCACACTTTAGTTTTTGATACTTGCACCTTATCTAGCCACGTCTCTAGAGATTCTCGTCTACGCAATTACCTCTACATGCGTGACCGTAACCATCGGTTGAAGGTTGCATACTGACCTGACACACTGACCCCGACCCAGTTCTGCCGTCGGGTTGAGACCTTGTAACAATCGGGGATATCCCGGCGGGTCGTGGCTACAGGACGGTATTCAGATATTTTTGATGCTGCAGAGCCCTATATCTCGGTTCCCTTAAGACATTGGTGTATATGGTACTAAGAAAAATTGCTTATGTTTTCAAGATCTACAGGTCTGTAAAGGAAAACCCCACCTTTGCGGACACCCTGTATAAAAGGTATATTATAGTTTACATAGTTTATTACATTTATTTTTATTAGTTACCTCAAAAACTTAGATTTTGTGTGTGTTTATTCATTTGTATCCAAGTTAAAATCAGTTTACATTTAGTCGCATGTGCGGTCTGGTATAAGGCACTATACATATTTATGATTAAATGAAAGTTTTTGACTAAAGTAATAAAACTAGCAAACCATATGTTTTTGTAATCAGAAAAAACAATATTAATCATAGTAAAAATAGCAGCATAGTTATGCATATATAGTACATATATCTTTTTCTAGATAAAATAACTTTTCTCTCTAAATGATCATACGGGAAAATACATCTGGTAATGCTTCGGATTGCAGGCACAGACTGTCAAGCTTCTTGAAAGTTCGTTTTTCAAAAACATAATACCTGATTTCATTGAAATTTGTTGAAATTTATTATTACGTACCTTGGTACAGACGCATCCCTTTTATTTTATATATTAAAACCACAATGGACATTTCATTAGAGATATCATCAGAATCATGGTTGGAAATGTCTGCAGCCTGGATGGCTTGGTGCAGATAGTGTATTAACACCCTGAGTTTGTTCGAACAACGTAAGAACCTTCATGAAGTCGGGTGTTATAAAATCAACTTTTCTTCATTTTTTAATATCACATTGCTTTGCGACAACATAACTATCTGATCTCCTTACTTCAATATCGTATTAGTAATAATCAATTGCTTTCATCTGTTGCTTTATTCCGGTCTTGCTTATACCCGTCTACTACATCAGTCGATATTTGGAAGAACAGGTCAATTGCTATTGGACTACTGAAGAGAAGCCATTTTAAGTAATTTATGCTTTATTATACTGAAATGCTCATTAATCTTATTTCATAATGCAGTTAATAATATTGTGTAAACATTACAAATCTGTGAAAATCAAAAACCTTCCACTAGCCAGTTTCCATTCATTTCAATGAGTCAGAAGCATATTATGCAATATTGATAGATTTTTATATTGATTCAATGCTAATTTTATAGCGATATCAATTAGCACGGATATAAAAATGTACATGAAGCAATAAAGATACGATCTTCTATTTGTGGACAAATACAATTTCCTATAAATAATCATGTTTGTGTAAAAAAGCCTAATTTTAGACCGCAAACAAATATCAAGGTTATCAGTTCTTGCAAATGATAATTCAGGCAACTCTATATTTTTTATGAAGAATAGCCGTCTTTTGAACTAAATCTGAGCGAGTTTCTGATTCACAAAACATGTTGGAGTAAACTGTTTCCGAGATACATTCGCCCCGAAAACTCATCACTGCCTCCATGATTAATGCTATTTCTCAGTGACCATCCACTTATCCTTTTTGACTTTGACTGCTATGACACTGTTGTACAGAGAAGACGCGAGATGTTAAAGTGGGAGTCCAATACTTATGCCTAACCTAGCGTGTATGGTCGACAGCAGTGTTAACAGTACGAAGTCCTCCCAATGTTATGCGAAAATATCAACTACAATTAAGATGTTCTGCGTGTATAATTCTGGCCATACTTACTTAGTCACCTTCTTTTGTGAGTCCATACTACAATACCTCTGCACAAAGTTCTGCTGGCATCCAAAGATGGAGAGGGACATAAATAATTGACCGATGATCGCTGATGTTGTAGTGACTCTTGCGGTAGGATCAAAGCTGAAGCTGAAATTTGAGAGAATCTCCATTATTATCGCTTGTACTTGAAAAGATTGATACATTTTGATATGAACTTTTCTTTACATGTGATACATAAATATGAGTAGGACAATTTTGTATAGCTAAGCGAAGCTTCTCGGTCATGTGGTGATGTACAGCACGGTCTTAACAAACCTTATTTGTATCGCTTCAAGCGACAATTTTTTGAAGTATTTTATCTTGTCCTTTCGCAGTCTGAGTTGGGGTAAGCAGAATGCCATACAATGCAACATTATTTCTCTCATAGACTGCAGAGGTTACATCGGTAATTATCAACTTTGTCCTTTGCTGCCAAAATAATTTACATGCCCTACTACATAATTATATCCAAATTTATTTTCTAAATGAAAAGTATCGTCTCCTACTTTTTTATCGTACACAGCTGTTTTTTAAGAACTTTCCAAAATTTTATTCGCATCAGCAGTATTTGGATTTTCAAGACTAGATATTGATAGTTGAAGCTTTGGCGCAGATGAATGATTTCATCCTATCCTATTTAACTATACAGAAGTGCCTTTCCGACACGACATTAATTTTAAAATTATTTTCATTATGAAACAACTTTTCCCCTGACACGTAATGACCCGGAAGTAATATAGCGAACATTCCAGTTTCCACTGGAAATCAATATGCTTGCAGCTCGAGATAAGAACTTTCCAATCTGTTGACGTCTATTGGGGCTCGGGGTGCATACCCGTTCGCCTTTCTTCCAGGGACGTGGTGGCGGAGGGATGGAGAACCTGCCTCACCCCCTTAGCAGAACGTGACAAAAACTATAAAGTTGGTAAATTCTCGATTAGCAATAATACCTTATCAAGATGGTGCCTACATCCGCCCACCATTTATGGAAATGATTGAAATTTGTATGCACTGCTTTTGAAAAAGCCCCCTTATCCAATTATTTTTTGGGTCAAGTTAGCAGGCAGAAATTCTGGGCGATGACGTTGAAGCATGTGCATTTTTATGTAATAGTAATAGTTAAAAAATCCAAGACGACTTGTGATACCCATTTTTGAAGTTCTCCGCAGGTATTTTATAACTCTGGAGAATAAAATTACTGTCCTTCAAAATGGCAGACTGGCGGGCAGTCAAACATGTAAATTGGATCGCTTATAAGTCAGCAACGGTAGTCCGGTACCAAAATAGAAAATAGTAGATAAAAAAATCGTATCTCACGGCGTTAACAGTAGGGTACGTCCTAGTATGTTGCCCTCCACCGTTTTAGCATCCGAGTGTACTCATCAAAACGTTATAGAACTAAAGAATTTTTTATTTATCGTCTGGAGTAAGTCGGCGAGATTGTTGCTGAAATTGTTTTTTAAACAACAGTGAAGGGAACACATTCATAGTCGACGAATAAAAAACTGGACCGATGAGGTTCGATTAGGACGGAATTATTTTATTGTTGAATGGCAAATCATTTTGAAAGGTTTTATTTAAAATTAGGCGTTGATTGATTTTGGAAGAAATTTGGAGATTTTGAAACTATCAACTATTGAAAATTCCCCCGAGATTTCATCATTTTTTCCACTGATAACCTCCACATTATCCAACGCCGACTGACATGGCAAGGAATTAACTTCCGAGGCGAAAATTCGAACCCACGAGCTTGATTTGCGAACTCTTTAAGTTCAATCTGCCTTACATATGTTAGCAACGCCGCTTGTTTCAATGTTTGTTACCAACAGAATCTTGGTCGAAAGAGAGTTATAGTATGATTTTTGTTTACGTCAAGTTAGTAGCTTTCATTAGCAAAGAAACGCAGTGCAGACAATATCTAGAAATATAAAACCACATTCATATAAGCATCTGTATACCACATTAACTGGACGATGGTTAGCACTTTCCAATTAGCAGACAGACAGACCTACGGAAATTAGTGATATGGTTTCTCGTGATGTACTTGTCATATTATAAAACACAAAAATATGATATGCCATTTTCAAAAGGTCTAAGATCACCTAGTTAGTTATCACCTAGTACCTATGTTGCTTATCGACTAAACTTTTTCAAACTTCTTTGTTTTTTTTTTCAAAAATTGTATTATTTTATGTATTTTATTATTGAGGTAGATATTATAAGTAGACCAGTAATTTACAAAGAAGTTGCAAGGATTTTGGAAAAGTCGGCAACATTTCTGAAGAAAAAAAATCCACAATTTTTTATCCCCGTGGAAAATGGTCTCGCTACGTCCCTGACTCAACCTAATAAACTCTCGACTTCTCGTGCTAAAAAAGTAACTTTATTAAAAGAGAGGGATTTTAATAACAGTTCCGGAAATTATTGCATTCGCAAGCCCCCGCTGGCTTCTACCCACCCAGCGTCTGTCAGAAGTAGCGCCTATTGACCAGATTTACTCAACCTCAAATAATTACGGAATGAATACATAATGCACAACAATTTATTTTGTAATTTGTTCAATTACTGATTCTTCTCCGTTACTGGAATACGTTAATTTTAGGAACTTTGGGCAGCGATAGGGCAAACAAACATATGGGTGTTAGGGGAATCTTAGGAAACTAGCTTCAATACAATTTTGTTAAGCGTATTTCATCCCAAACATGTTTTGTTCGAGGTGTTTCCGAAGCTTGAAGATGACCTTTTTAGTCTTTGAAGATTTTTGTAAAACCGTTCGATTACTTTTTGACGTTTGATGATTTTTTAAATTACCATCTGCCACAGAAGTGCAGTCAAACGTAACTATTGATTCTAACATTTGGATAACTGGCTTAGGCAGCAGTGAAGTCATATAGTACGAGGTACACTAATTCGTTATAGCCCTTTTCACGGTTTTTGCCGTTTGCTACATCCCTGCTATACGTGTTAAGTAAACAGATTAGCTAATCGTACCATATGCGTATCTTAGCTTCCCTAAGGAAACTAGATGCTGGGCAGACCGCATCACACCTGCTACTAGCTCTTGCACATACACGGGTTGGGTTACAGGCCTGTAGTTTTCACCCACTTTCTAAAAATTTTTTTAATGCAGTCTGTCGACGCTGTGGTTGTATCTTCAGGCACCACTGTATTTTATATCGAAGATCAGGATCGGTAGAAACAAATCAGACGCCCATGACAAGTAATTCATACCGACAGTGACAAGCATGGCAAAAACGTATCTCATTATACTAATAATCGTGCAAAATCGAGGCAGATTGCATATGTATGGAGGCCACGCCATATATTTTGAGATACACGAAAACTAAAAACTATTTTTCGAAAACTAGTTTACTTATGTTCAAAGTATTCTTCTCCAGCATTAATGCACTTCTAAAGCCTGACCTTCCACAAATGAAATGCTTCTAACCAGTCACTTTTTGGAATGCCTTCAACAAACTGATTAATTGCTTGATCGATTTCCTCTTTGGACAGAAATTTTTGACTACGCAGCCTTTTTTCAAATTGTTGAAAAGCTAGAAGTCACATATTGCCAAATTTAGCGAATAAGACGGATGTTCTAGCATTTTGATGTGACGCTGGCGTAAAAAGTCTACAGTTAGTTGGGCAGTATGGCAAGAGGCATTGTCGGGATACGCAATTGCACCTCTAACATTCACAGCTTCGCGAACTTTCAGCAAACATCTGTTGACGTACCAATTTGCCGTAACTGTACGCTGCTCTTCCAGCTTAATTACTTTTACCAAGCCAGTGCTGCCAAAGAAAACGACGTACATGACTTTTCTCATGGCTCTCTGCTTCTTTACCATTGGTGTAGGGTCATCTGCATGAATTCACACACGCCATAAAACGGTATATAGGTTTCATCACCTTCTATTATTTTTAAAAGAAGGCGATGACCGCCGTTTTTTAACATTTCCAATATTTTCCGACTAATCCTAACACACGGAACGGAGCTTCATTACCAAATGCCTGTTGTAACCGTTCGATACATTGATGTTCAGTTAAACCGACTTTAAAGTCGTAGTAAATCATAGCGCGGTAACTCTCTCAAGATAACCATGCTTCGCCTTAAATTGGTCTACACCACGTGCACTGTAACGCTCCTTTCACATCACACGATTTCGCTCGTACGGGAAAAAATCGCCCGGTTTTTAATCGTGGCACGACACTAGTGGGAAAGCGTGCATTTGGTCACGTAGACCACTGAGCTAGAGGGCGATACGGTAGCAAGGCGTTTAGAAAACGTGCCCGTGTTATAAGCGTGCAATGTGAATGGTCTCGTGCTCTTCAACAATCGATCAAGAAAAATTACCCGGGCGATTTTTTCCCGTACGAGCGAAATCGTGTAATGTGAAAGGAGCGTAAGAAGCTTGCAATTGAACTGAATGCAGCGACTTACTAATAAAGGACTGATCTTTCTAATAGTGCACTGTTGCCGGATTTAACTAGTATAGTTAATGCGCATCTCAAAATATACAGCGCGCCTCTTGCATGTGTGAGGGAAACCGATGTATTAAAATGGTTCCTTGTAGTTGTACAGTGCTCCACCAAAAACCGTGCAAAGTCCTATAAATTGGTTCCTAGTTATACATCAATGCTGTATCCGGTTGTAGTTTGAGTCATTTTTTATAAAATGCGGTTACATATTGTTTACAAATATTGATATCGAGAATATGGAGTATTCAACAACAGTTACCCCATATACACGGAGAAGAAGTTATATTCAAAGTACTTACTTGAAAAAGTTCATTCTACCACCCTCAGAGTTCTTTTGGACAACAACGTCTACACCACCAGCTTCAAAGCATCCTTGGAATATTATTGCCATACTAACCGCAATCATCGTCAGTCCTTGCATGACGTCAGCTAAAATTGCAGCTTTGAGCCCGCCCTGTAATAAGATCATATGTTAACCTCAAAGTATTGATAACTTAACCGCCAGCCTCAGACATATTCTCAGCTTTAAAATGACCAGAGGTCATAAGCTTTTCTGACGACATACAAGGGTACATAAAGGATAATTCTGGCATCACGGTCAATAACTATAAGTTTCATAGGTCTTTTCAGATGAATGAAGACGGATTAAGGTGGAAAGCAGGAATTCGTCTGTTTAAAGATTGATTCTGAACCAGGCGTTTTTACTGCTTACCAAAAGTCAACTATTTTATTTGCCGCAGCAACTTTCTAATATGCAGGATGTTTAAGAAGTCTTTGTAATTATCCCAAGAGATGATTTTTGTTTGGTGTCAAGAAGAGGACTTCTTATGTTTAATTTCGAGAAAATAGATAAATTTTTCTAATCAAAAACTTGTAAACAGTTTACCTGACTCAAGAGAAGGTTCCTCAGTTATTGCTTCGTGGACGACTTCAAATGATGCTAGACCTGAATCTAGAGGTCACTATTGATTTTTTTGATATTTGGGAATACCTTCAGGTATACCTCTGGTGCCTGTGATCCTAATTTATTTGAAATTGGAGCTATTTTTCGATAATAAACCTTCAATGCCAAAAGTGCGTGATACATCAAAAATTTATCTCTTGTTGACAAAACCACAGTATCTAATTCAATAAAGAAGACGAAAAAAAGGGTTACAGCTCGGTCTACATACATAAAAAGACTTTACAAATGATAGATGACCTATTGTTAAGGCGCGTACTCACTATAGCGCTTGCATACGACCGCACGGTGATGAGCGCTTACGTTCGGTCAACGTGGACGTGAATAATTCATGGATTTCGCTGAGCAACCGAATGCGTTGGGCTGCGGAGAGGTTCGCTCACTTGTCGGTAACTTTAGAGGAAAGTCGCCCTATGCCCGCACACAGTGTGTACCTGTTTTCGTGCAAGGACGCATAGCTATTGAGTGTAACAGATTTAGATTACTTTCCTTAAAAAGATGCAGTGAAGTAATGCACTGGTAATAGATCTCATAGAATTTATATAGGGCAAACGAGTGCCTATGAAATCCAGCAGATAATAATTATAAGAATAGATAAAAAACTAGACGCTTGGGATGTAATTGCCAATGATTTAAATTGTGATGCAGCTGAAGTTACAATGAAAATTCATTCCCTTTTGTGATCATTTCACCGAAAATGCCAAAAACAAGAATCGAAGACTGGGAGCGGATGAGAAATATAAAACAACATGGTTTGCTTCCAAAACCATAACGTTTCTAATGGATACATTTTTGCACCAACTCTGTCGAGCAAATACTCAAAATCTGTACTTTTCGTTCTACAGAAATTTTCAAAAAGCCCATATTCCAGTTCTTGGAATGGAGATCCTTCATTAAGCCTAAACACCTGTGACGATTTCTACCTTTAAATAAAGATGCCACCCAACATCGTCGTTTTCTTTCTCTTTTTTGAATATCCTCACAAACTATTACATATGATGCACTATTAATTAAAACTAATTCATCAGACATTTTTATAACTGCCAAACAACGACTTGCCGGGAAGCGGACGAACAATACCACACATGTTATATGCGTTCGCTAGACTGTGCGTCCATAAAACAAAAATTCGACTAAATGTCGCACGGTTTTACAACACGCGTGAATTGCTGTTTGTTCGGTCGTGGTCGCTGTGGTGGGTATGCGGCTTTACTGTTTCGGGTACCAGGAGCCATGTATTTTGCCAGTTCTCTTTTGTTATACAACCAGCTTGTGTTTTTGGGCTCACCCTTCACTTATATGAAGGAGTACCTACACTAAGGTGCAAAATAAACGCGGTATGTAAAATTTTGGTCACCTCGAACTTACGATGTTCTATTACTATTGTTTGGTTTGCTATGCAAGTTTATTTAAATATTTTTCTACAATGTCTTTTCATACTAAATTAAAAAGTTTATCCGAACTCCATGGCGATTCTGAGGGTTCCGTCTGGATTTACTAATAAACTTTCAAGTTCTGCAGTCAGTGCTTATAAAAATACTACTGTTTTGAATGTATGAACGAGAATACGACAATAAAATCTCCTCCAATATACTCCGATTTTTTCATTTAATTATACATTTACTCTGTTCTAAATGTTAGTCTATAATGTTTTCTATGGTCTATCCAGCTCCATTTTAATGTATTTATAAAATGCTGTGATATTCAAACAGCATGTAGTATATTCCCTGGAAAGCATTATTAAATTCAAACATAAAGAAATGTTGTATGATGCGCTTTGTTTATGACCGTTTTATTATAACTTTTATTTTGAGGTCTGTTTTATGTCCCTTATTTCGCTGGCATACGAAGAATAAATTGGAGTTAATGCTATCAGTGAAGGAAGACCAAGAATGTTTAAAAACCTAATCAGGATAAATCAAACGTTTACGATCTGCAGAATCATTCCAATCAACGGTTCCAAAAGTGAAATTGCCATGATACTGCAGGTTCCATCGAAAAAATTCAGGTAGGGTAGGTGACTTAAGTCTGTACCATGTATCCACGTGTTGGTAGTGTTGAGCTCTTTAGAAAATTGCCCACGATTGACTATACGTATTATCGTAGCTAATTGAGACACTGTTTCGTGAACCTGGTGTTACAAGTTCGACCCTCATTATTGGAATCTCGGAAACGGTGAGAGGATCTAAGTCGCTTAAATGGATCAAAGCTGAGTATTTAATTTCAATACGACGTTTCGTCTGTTGTCCTCCAGCATTAATTTTATTTTGTCTCATATGCGCCATACTGGATTTGTGCACAGATGAATAGAATTTTTACACCTAATTTCAAATATGTACAATATGTCATACATCGACATTGCCAAACCTTAGTTATTTGAAAAAAGACAGAATTTCTTACGTAGGCATTGAAATTATCGCAATAGAATTTTTATTTTTTTTTGACTTTATTTGTGCTGGGATTTCAAGGCATGTCGCTGTTTTTTCATATGGACGCCATATTGGAATTTTTTACATTTAGATGGAATTTCCAGTCCTAAATTCAGTGTTGTATTTCCTCAGTTAACTATGCATTCCTTATTGGAACGAAAATTATAAGAAGATAAAAGGGTATGGTGAAACCGGAAAACAAAAATAAATTCATGGCTAACTAAGGAAATACATCACTGAATTTGGATCTCAAAACTCTATTTAAATTTACTTAATTCCTATTTGGTACCATATGAAAAAACGAAGTTGGTGATGCAAGTCGAAAGAAGAAACCTCGAGTTGATAATTTGACTACGCGGTCTTGTAGTGCAGAATGAGCAATGATAACATTTATTTTGAAAAAACAATTCAAAAGTCCAATATGGCGTACATAAGAAAAAATAATGTTAATGCCGGAGGACAAGAGACGAAACGTCATATTGACATTCGAATTACGCCATCTTGTAGAGAAGAAATGATAGCAATGTTAATGTGCAATTTATTTCAAAATCCCGTAACAAATAAATTCGGGCTCATATTAACTCATATAAACGAAAGAGTTTTATCCATCCCTCTTCGATAGTGCTTTGAATTTCGAAACTTTCTAAGCGACATTTTGTTAGCTACCTTAATACGCAACTTTGCCCTCATTTTTGCGATTTTATATTTCTTACCGTTTCCGAAATCCCAATGGTGAGGGTCTAATTTGAAACACTCAGTTAGGTAAGTTGATGATCTTTTTGTTGGTTGCTCTTATTTGCAAAAGTGGATGCACAACACTTCAACCTTTATACTTAATAATTTATTACCACTTACCAACAAAGTGAAGATAATACTGACGAAACTGATGCCAGTTATAGATGCCCAATACGGAATTCCAATGACAGTGTTCAGCGCAACACATGGTGTGAACACGGTTACACCTTGGTTAAGTAGCTGACGCACGATGTAGGTCCCTGACGCTAAGCATCGCACCAGTCGCGACTTGAACCTAAGGTCCAAGTACTGATAGACTGAAGTGATGCCTAAGCTGAAGTACACTGGCACGAATACGAAGCATACGATTGGGTAGGCTAGCACCATGCCGTAGAGCGTCTCCCACATGGTGGCACCTCGATAAAAGAGCTCTGAGGGATATCCTGAAAATAATTACAGAAGCCTTAGTAACTGGTCTTTTATCTATTATTATCCAGAACTAATGTATGTAGTAGTCTAAAAATCGGGATCGAATCGACGATATTCTTCAAAACCTCATTATACTTGTACTTCGACAGAATATGTTTGAATATGCCTATTGACAATGCCATTGGGTTCAAGAATTATACTATTAGTTATGCATTCATGCAAAAAACCTTGCTAGTTCTAATAGGTTGGGTAGCCACTAGGTACCAATGTCAGTGGTCAGTGTGATGATGCTTAGGATGAAGTGAGACTCGTTACACGTTATCTGTATGAAACTTTGTACAGCAACCTATACTATTCGATCACTTGGCAACTGTTCCATCGTGTAAGAAGATTTAGGATCTATATGTTATATCTATCTGCTTTTTTTTAAAAATTTCATCCGAATATGCATGCGATATGTGGCATTCTATTTAAAAACAAGAATCTTTGACAAATGCCCTTGAATATATTGTTACAAATAAGCTTATCCGGATAGTCAACCGTATCGCTGTTTTCAGTGTCACGGTGGTCGATTCTGGTAATAGATGGCACTTCGTGCTGCCTTATTTTCATAAAAGGTTAAGACCGAATAGCTGTCCACGGTAGTCCGTCTTTGGTCGGACGAACGAAAGCTACATATATTACTAGTTAACAAAAGAGGATCATATCTCTCCGATGCACTAAGGTGTTGACTTAAGATTTTGTGCATGCAGTAACAACACATAGCCAGCAGTGACGTAGAAATGGTAAAACCTTGATCCCTGCAGAAGGAAAGAGAAAATCGTTTTCAACCGTACTGAATCTGGTATGGTACAGGACCCTTCGGGATGTTGCCGCAACATACTGCACAGTAATAAAGAAAAGGGGAAATAAAGGAAGACAGATTAACAGATTATATTGTGATTAATTATGATTGTAATATATATATATATATATATTGAAACATATCGCTGTTTCTCAAGAATAGTGGCACTATTCAAGGAAAGCTTTTTTCAGGAGAGGCATTTTTAATATTTTTTGAAGAACAATTTTGGATAGCTGAAAATAAAGTTAATTATTTTGGATATAGAAAAATTATCAATTAAATAAGAATCATTGAACTTTACGATTCATTGAATAAGAAAACAAGATTAAAAAAGATCCCATTTTATTACTTTTTTTGCAACTTTATAGGAATGTGTCATTATTCCTAAGAAAAGTGATGCGATTCTAAAAAACATCTGACAAATAATTCGTGGTTACAGAACAAAGAGGGATTTCAGTATTACAACCAAGGATACACACCTAACAACATTTTAAAGGCTACGTGGAACTAAACAATCAAAGTTAAGTACAGAAAAAATAAGTACAATTGGAGTGGAACTGCAATTTTAACTAATTTTTCTCGTTTTCTGGATAGTGTCACTATTCTTGAGAAGCAGCGCTATGTGGATTACATTAGGGACCAGACAAGTGCCATCGGTTGTATTCTTGATTAAGCTATTCAATTTTGCTTGATACGTAGGCAAAGTTTGACATTGAAAATTCATTCTGTGTATTAGTAGAGCAATCCAATCACGCCCAGAAGTATTTGAACAACGTTAAAGTTTTGCACTTATTCACTGTTATCCGCGGCACAAAATTTTACAACACTGTACCTCGATAGTAAGAGATTTTAGGACCTATGTTTATGGGAACCTTTATCACTATTTTACGTACTTTCTGCTCTACAAATATTGCTATTGGTCTTTGAATCATCCTGTATAGGGCCACGGAGTGCTATATATACTGTGAAATCCATAAACTCCTGACAATGTAATGTGTACGAGAGAGGAGCGCAAGAAGTGTGCAATACGTGTGTTAGAAAGAGATGGAAGCACCTCGTAGTCTAGCAACCCATGTGACGAGGCCTTGGACGCGGCTGCGGCTTGTCGCGTTACAAAAACATTTTTATTTGTAAATATCTCTATTTTTTCGCGCTTATAGTACTCTCCCGGTAATGGTGTAGGAAGCAGGGATAGAACAACAGAGAGTGAGAGTCATGTGTCTGTCTCAGTGATGTCAATTTCGTTAAATGAGCCTTTTTGGACCGAATTAGCCCTCACAACTATCTTGACAATTAAGAAAATTTATCGTTTAATAACAAAAACTAATTAGACTCCAAATTAGTGTATCTAATTACCCTCTATATAAGACCTTTCTACAAGGATTTGTGCGTTGTCTTTTCGTAATCTATCACAACAGTTTGGATTAATTATAGAACACTGGTGCGGCAACGTCAGCAAATGTATATGGTCCAATTAAACTAAGCTGCGAGTACAAGAAGATTGAAGGGAAGGAAAAATCACAAGTATGTGGAATCACAGTCCTAGCGGCCCTAATATAAAATTGGACAGTGTTCGGTACGCGTCAGGAACCGCTAATTGAGATGTTACCTTTTTTTGAAGCCGTTTTGTTTGTCTTAAGGTGCGCCAAAGATCCAATAGAAATTTCTATGTATATAATTATGCAGGGTTACCTACCTGAATCATAGAATCATAGAAGAAAGTTATTCGAAATTGTCCACACCCATTTCATCGCTAAATACTAGATACGTATCATGACCGGATTTTGTTTGATAGCCTCCTAGGCAGTGAAAAATGGTTGGGCATTTCGGAAGATATCTTTTACTATTTAGGAAAAGCTATGCTTCACGTTTCGGTGAAACCTTGCGAATAGGATATTCAGGCTGAATCTTGAAAACAGTACAATGATTCGTTGCGACGTATATTTTAGCAGGTTGTAAATAGGAATCCGTCAAGTCAAGTAGTTTGACGGTTTTGAAGTATTTGACCTTATTTGAAAGCCAAAGTTGTTAAATATGCTCTACCCAAACTACACGCTCGAGCCGATACCTTCAGGCTATCACTTTACTTGATTTCAACCAGCTTCAAACTGCTTTCCAGTTGTTTGAAGTTAGAGCAACATTCTGAATATCTAAGTTGTTAAAACTTTATCTGCAATGATAGAATATTTATGAGACACCACAACCACCACTGCCTCAGTTAAAACACAATTTTCAAGAGCTTCCCTGACTATAGCAAACAAGCTTCTTGATCTTTCAAGTACTTGAAGAATGTTTACTTGACAAAGAATTAATTTACTACTGCTACCAGCATAAATTGACCTGATTTCAAGTCATCTAGTTTGGAAAGCAAATCAAGTCGTGAATTCATAGTTGTAAACAATGCCACAGAATTGGAATGTCGGTGTTGAGTTTTTATTGAAAAGAATAAAAATAAATAGACTTCATATATATTCTAGTCTATGGTTCAAATAGCTACTAGATGTCACAGTTCTAAACCAGGAGCAATAAACATAGTATGTTTATAGTCTGATATGTGGTCCTACAATTTAGATAAGTTAATAATTCAATGTAACATTTTGTGTGGCATTAAACTTGAGAATTCAATTTCCTTCTACGCTCCCTGGAATTATTGCTAAGCACCGGCGGCGCTTGGATTTTTACGATACCTTCCGGTCGTTGAAAATTGACACATTGTATGCTCTCGTGTATGCCATAATAAATTGTTTCTGCGCATATATTCATTTAGACTATTCATAAAAATTACTTCTGCACCTGTGAATACCATATAAAGACTGTTCTCGAAACCAGGAGCGAAAATCCAAAAAGTGATCTTTCCAACAGTCTAAAACGATTTCGCTTTTCAGTCTGGAATACCTGCTTACTAAATCATTATCTTCAGGTATATCGGTAGGTACCAACCTCCTATACTTATATACCTAGAAATGATCCAATTTGTGAGATATTTCACATTTTCCATTTGTACGGAGAACGAATTAGTTATATCCCAGACCTTCAAGACCAGAGACTGAAAAACATGTGTTCCTACATCGAAGGGCCTTCATATGCATTCAATAAAAGGGCTACTTTTAAAAATTTTTGTTTACCTTGCATCTTTTGAACAATGTTTTTCGAAAATTGTCAGTACAGAATATTATTCTAAATTGGTTTGATGGAATCAATCTCCACATATTTTGTATACATTTTTTTGTTACTTTCAGCTTCGTTGACATCCTTACCCTAGTAGTTTATTATAATTGATGCAGTAGTCGGTGAACTGACATAAAATCATTGAAATAGTTCTATTTCTTGTTCATAGTAATACTAGAAGAAGTTATTTAGTACATTTGAGTAAAAAAAAATATCATACAATAATGTTAAAAAATGGCAGAGTTTTAGGCACTTTGCGGTATGCAGTGCAGCTGCTGAAAATCTGGACCAAAAAGATAGAAGAAGCAGGTGCACATATTATGTAAAACAAAAAAAACGTAAGGGATTATGAAAATATGAGTTTATATGATATTTTATATTGAGTGCCTCGCAAAACTTCTCATACGCATGATAAATTGTATTGCTTCTGAGTACAAAAAGAACAGGCCAGTATTTTGTTCACTAAATAACAGTTTCTATCGGTACGTCAATTGGATTCTATGGAGGGAGCAGTTGCTCGAATATATGAACCAGAATAAAGGGATTTTGACAAAGCAGGCAGCTTTACGCGCTGCAAAGTCTGTAGCTTCGCGACGTTGATCTGTCTAGTTATATTGATTGATGGGCTCATATGATGAGAAATGATTATGCCTACATCCTCCTGCAGATTTGTCACGAGCGAAGTTCGACAGAATTGATATATTCAATGTATTTAGCGTGCAAATCTATTTAGAACAATATGGTATATTCTGAGAGGTATAACGATCACGCTAATGTGTTTATTTGTTTTTTCGAAACATGTCGCATAAGTTCGGTTTATCTCACAGACAGACCATACCAGTTCTCCTGCAAGAGATGAGTAATGTAAAGTTGCATTTGAAAAAAAATACCTCATACATGAAAAGACCCAGCAGAAACCTTATAGGAATGGCTGTTGTCTAATTCAAAACAATATAATTGTCCATGCGCCCAACGTATTTGCCTGATAATTATTATATGATA